GAGTTCGCCATTCTTGGGAGGTCTGTGAGGAGGATGTAGAAAGGACTGCACTGCCTCCACAGAGCTTCAGAGGCAGGACTCTGGACAGCAGGAGCCACTGGATGTAGAAAGACACCCTTCTTTCCCCAGTTGAGAGTAACCTGGCCCTTGTTAGGTATCAGTCATTTCTGATGAGATTAATTTTCTTGGGTAACATAACATCATCTGTCACTGTCTGGGATGAGAATGGAGACGACCAACCAAAGAACACTTCGGGTCAGGCCGTCACTTATCTTGAAATCAGTAGTACTGGAGCTGGAGTTGTAGCTGTGGCAGGGTGCATTTCTGGAAGGCAAACCTTAGGCTTCCATAGTAAAATTGGCAATACATTCCCGGGATAAGGAATACTCAAGCTGATGGCACCGAGTGCTTGCTGAGAAGGTTCTGGAGTCCCCTGCCATGGTTTATTGTTTGTTGGGAGCCCAGTGCCTACCAAATAGAGCATGTGCCATGTTCTGCCCTTTCCTGGCTTCTCACACACAAGTCCTCAATTTGCAGAAATGATTCCTTTGCCTGGAACTCTCACATCTCTGTGACACAGTGACCAAAGCTTTGTCCCTATGAATTTGGACTTGGGTCAGCATGTGATGTATGTTTTTATTCATTCATTCCTTCAGCAGATACTACAATGTGCAGGCATTGTGGTGGGAACTTTGGGTCAATACAAAGATTCATTAATTTTAGCACTTCAACGGGCCAGGGATTTAGCTCAGTGGTTCTGCCACCTGCCGCACAAGTACAAGGCCCAAAGTTCGATCTCTGGTACCAAAAAATTTAGCACTTTGAGTTTTTATCCATTAATAATTATACAATAGTACCATTTATTGAGCACTTGGCCAATTTTTCTCAGAAAAGTAGCTTATATATAAATTATCCTTTTTTTTTTTTTTACAATAATCTATTAGGTTGGTACAGTGGTTATTCACCCTGTAAAGCTGAGGAAATCAAGGTTCAGAGAAGTTGGATAACTGCTCCAGGTTGTGCTGGTGCTAAGTGGGAGCCAGGCTTTGAAGCCAAAGTCACTAACATGGCTGCCCTGCCTCCTTGCCCTGTTTGACAAATTCCCGCTGGTGTGAACCACCTGTGGGTCTTGTGTGACTCTGGGATGGTGCGTGGTACATGTGCCACTGGTGGATCAGAGCCACTCAGCAGTGAGACATAGGATGGCTGACCCGCTGTGAATGTGTTGATGTGACTCTCCTGAAAGGCATCTGTGCTTAACTTAGACCCAGTCTGGCAGTCACCCGGCATGAACAATCTGTCCCCTGAAGTTATTCCCTGAGTCCCTCTTCCAGGACAGAACTCCTCAGACCGTTAGAGCCACAGAGGCTGGGGTCTGAGCTAAGGCTTCTCCCACCAGCTGTTTCCTTGAGAAAGTGGGTGACCTCTCTTTCTTCATTTCAGTAACAGCAAATTCCGACAGCACTGGCCATGGGCCAGGTACTACTTCTCATCAACTGCAACGGTTCTGTGACATTCACAGGGCAACCTCATATCTGTGGAAGCCAAGGTATGGAATCAGTCAGGCTACTCTTGAGAAGTCAGTGGCAAAGCACAGCTTTGGACTCAGGCACCCTCGCTCTGGAGTCTGTGCTGCCTCTGAAAATGACAGGGACGACGTGCGGAAACTCCTCTGGTCCAGAACCACCCAGCGGGGGAGCTGCGAAGAAGAAAGTAACGATTCCAACCACCCACCCAAAGCGAAGCACCCATTTGTGGAGAGGATTTTCTGGTTTTGATATTATCCCAAAGCCTGCTGCCTCTGCCTGTGAACTTGCAGGCTGAGCTTCCCTAATCCTGGGGATCCCTTTAGAGAGGATCTGTCAAGGTGCACTGCTTGCCTTCCCTGCACCTGCCAGGACACCGAGGCGGGCCGCGGACAGGGGGGCGGGTGGGAGCTGCAGGTCGCCAGCGGCACAGGGGTCCCGCTCCCCCTCTTCCCACTCCCACCCCCAGTGGCTTCCATCTTTCCTATTGACAATAATTAGAACCTTCCTGCCTCGATTCTTATAGGAGGACTATCAATTCACTCGGCTTGTTGCCTTGACCCAGGTTACCTGGAGCGATCTGGTCCCAGTAGTGTGTTTGGAGAGGAAAATACACTTAAGCCCTTACACATTCGTGTGGATGAGGTCAAGGTGCTGGCCTGGCTCTGGAGCCAGGCTGCCTGGATTGGAGTTCCAGTCCGGCCTCTTCAGCATGTTCAGTCTGAGCTGGTGTGTCTGGGAAATGGGGCTAAAACAGTGCAGATTAGATGAGGTACACGGGAATGCCCGAGGAGAACAGGGACTGGCCCGTAGGAGACGCTCAGAACAGTGAGCTGGTAGCATTAAGCCCCTCCGGCCCCAGTCCGCCTTCTTTCTCACCCTCCTGGGCTCCTGCTTTGGGAAGACCCTTGCTGTCCGCCAGCCTCTGGGCCTCCTCTCTCCCCTCGGCCACCTGCTTACTGTGTCCCCCAAGCTTCTAGGTCCCATCTTCGGACTGGGCCTGGGCACAATGGAGTCTACTCCCTAAGGTTGCCGCGAAGGTTAAGTGCACTAATTCAAGTGCTGAGCACAGCGCCCAAAGACCATGCACGCTCATTACTGTTATTCCTGGAGCACAAAAGGCTGCTGGGAAGAGCCTTTGAAACCTCAGAGAGCCTGAGAGCCAAAGAGCCAGGCTGTGTGGCCGTGGCTGGGCCAGGAGCCGGGAGCCAGGCAGGCTAGAGGAAGGCAGCGGAGGCTGAGTGTCAGGAAGACGTGCGCAGCCCAACAGTTTCCAGGCAGAGCACTTCGAGGGCTTGCGAATTCAAACTCAGCAAGAAGCACCTCCCTGCGCCCTGTCCTCTCCTGTGTTTCTCCCCAGGATTTAACAACAAAAAACCAAGACAGCTCCCCTCAGTGTCATTAAGTTCCAGATATCTGCTGAGCACATTATAGACATCCTGTCTTCTACACTTCACCACTGCAAAGCAAGTCTTACCATTCCCCCACACAGATGAGCCGCTGCGACTCAGCCGCAGAGCCGTTTGCCCACAGAGACCTGTAAATGGCGCGGCCCAGATTTAAGGCTCAGCCTGTGGGGCAGAAAGGGAAAGGTTCCCACTGATTTCAGAACCAGTCTTACCACCTGCCTCCTCCCAGTCCCCGAGGGCCAGGAGTGGCTGCTCTTCATGTTATCTGGCCATTTAATGGAATTAGAACTGCCATCTCTCCCTCACACATAATTAAAAGTTGTTTATTTGCTTGCGATATCATGAATCTCTACATGACCACCTTCCTCACGTAACATTTGGGAGAATCGAGTTCCGGAAGTGGTGGGCAGGCTGTATTCTGTTTTTAGTATTTCTGAGGGCCTTTTGTTGCATGAGAGAGGTACAAAGGGATTTTTGTGAATCATTCTTCTGCCCCTGGGAAGCCAGTATTGGAAGTACATGAGTCAGGATCATATCAAGATGCCTTTACTAGATGTGGGGATTGGTGTCCATGGCTTGTTTCCCTTCTCTCTCCTCTCCTGTTCCTCACCCCAGACCTGTGAGACCCTGAATGGCTTCTCCTCCCTCTCTTGAAGAACGAGGCCTGCCACGCCATGCCCGGGGTCAGCAAGGGAGGAGAGGAAAGCACATAGCCCGCTGCGGCCACAGCAAAGGCCACAAAAGCCATCCTGCTCCTTTGACCTACATTGACGCTGAATCTGTTCTTTGGTGTCCCTGACTTTGGCCATGTGGTTAGTTTAACTCTCTGCCCCCACCTTGAATTGAGCTTTGATGAAAAAGCAGGAGGAACTCAGGCCTGCCCCTGGAGATTTGGGGTTTTTGTCTTGGAAAAGCATGAACCAAACTAGCAGGGCAGGAGATCTGGATTCCTGTGGCTTGGGCTAACTTTGGCCGAAGACACCAAGTGCCTGTGATCATCATCCTCTTCCTCCCAGATGTGGCTGTGCCCTGCTCGTCACCTCCCCTCGCCCCTCCTCCCAGTTAGCAGGTTTCAGGCCATGACTCTTGCTGACCATAAGCTGCCTTTCCATACTTGAAATGGCTCGTGGGAATGCTTGCAGATTGCGGCTGCCAGCTGATCCAAACTCTTTTGGCTTTAGTAGTACAATAACAAAACAGCTCCTCAGCACCAGCATATTTCCTATCCCTGGGGATCCCAGTAAACCTCTGTGAGATTTGCCTCTTGGGAAATCTGGAACACAGGGCCTCCTGGCTGCTCTCTCCCAAGCAGCACCTCCATCTATCAGGAGTCATTTGGTGGCCTAGACTGTGTGTTTTGGACCGCCATCCTGGCTTCCTGTAATAGGGTGGCCAGATCTCTGTGTGGGCATCCAGAGGAGCCAGCCGCTCAGTGCTGGGTGACAGTGACGCGGTCTGTGGTCGGTACGCTACGCTCTGCTCCTCCATGTTTGCAAGCCTATTTGCCGTGGTTCAGCCTCCAGACGTTCTGTAGATGGGCCCCGGCCGGTGGTGGTGAGCGTGGCCATGCCAGGGCCTTCGGCATTCACCCGGCTCTCCCATGACTCATTCCCCCAGATGTTTACATCCCAGGGAAACCAAGCAAAAAAGCCATGAAAGCGCCTCTCCCGTGTCCTCTCTTACCTGAGTGTTTCTCAGCCCTTTGGTCAAAACAATGTCGTAATTCTGTGCCCCATCCAGGAAAGGCTTTGCAGGAATATTGATTTTTAAATCTCACCCCAGAAGTTAGTGGCTCCACACCGCTAACACTGACTCACTTTAAAAGAGCGGCCCAGCTGCACATGGTGATATGCGTCCAATCCCAGGGCTCGGGAGGCCGAGGCAGGAGGGTCACAAGTGCAAGCTCAGGCTGGGCAACTCAGTGACTTAGCAAGACCCTATCTCAGAATAAAAATAATAAGAAATGGAGCAGCTTTCCCCAGACTGAGTCTGAAGATGTGAAATGACTAGAGAGAATGGTGATGGGGTGGGAGACCTCATAGGCTCCTCTCTGTTTCCGCCACAGACCTGCTGACCATGAGGGAGTACCACTGCCTGCTGCAGCTGCTGTGCCCCGACTTCCCACTGGAGCTCACCCAGAAAGCAGCCAGGTACAGTGCCCCGACTCCCAGGCCAGCCCAGCCCTCAGCTAGGGGAGAAATCAGCATCACAGAGGGGTCTACTCAGGGTCTTTGAGATGATGGCGTTTCACAGGGGGCCGGGCAAGCCTTCACAGCCTCTGAGGGAGCCTCAGGGTCTGCAGATAGGGGTGGAGGGCTGTGAGACGAGGAGGTATGTGCACACACACACACACACAGGCACATGCGTGCACGCACACACGAGGACACCCAGAGAAAGGGACCAGAGTGGCCAGCAACTCGTGTTGACAGAGTCACAGAGCGGGAGCTGGAAAGGCACGAAGGGAATGAAGCCCAATCCAGGGAGGGCAGATGGTGTCATGTGGGCTGAAAGGAGGCCCTCAGGGTAAGTCCAGACCACGACCTGGCAGGTGTGGTGAAAAGCCCCTCGTTTCTGGGTTTGGTTCACTGTCATTCCCATTTTTTAACCAAATGAAGTAGTTGAACTGTACCTCAGTTAACTTTTTTTTTTTTTTTTTTTTGGCAGTACCAGGAATTGAACCCAGGGAGCACTGAGCTACATCCCCACCCTTTTTTGGTCTATTTTTGTTTTTAAACACAGGGTCTCATTAAATTGCCTCAGTATCCTCCCACCTCAGCCTGCTGATTAGCTAGAGTTATAGGCATGCACCACCATACTCAAAATCTTTTTTTTTTTTCTTTTTTGGTATTGAGGCTCGAACTCGGGATCTTGTACTTGTGAGGCAGGGGATGGAACCACTGAGCTAAATCCCCAGCTTCAGAAATATTATTTAACACAAAACCTGAGCTTGGTATGAAGGAAAAAAATCTTGTTTTCTGAAAAAAAAAAACCTTTTCTTAAAAGAGGAGAGGGGGCCAGGGACTTAGCTCAGTGGTTCTGCCACCTGCCTCACAAGCACAAGGTCCCAAGTTCGATTCCTGATACAAAAAAAAAAAGAGGAAAGGTTCATTTGGCTCACAGTTTGGGTAAGTCCAGCCTATAGTCTGCTGGCTCCAAGGCAGGAACATCATGGGGAAGAGCCTGGCGGAGCAGAGCTACTCAGTTCATGGCGACCTGGAAGCAGAGCAGGGGACAGCCCCAGAGAGGAGGGGGCAAAGGCACAGACCTGTTGCCCAAAGCCATATTTCATGACCCACCCAGACACACCCAGCAACTGGTCCCACCAGTCCCAGGTGAATCCCAAGCCAATCCAGTTGACACCCACCCTAACCACCAGAGCCAGCTCCTCTAAATCACACTGAAGTCATTTACCTTCACTCAAAGATCTGACTCAATCCTTATTTTTAAAAGTTACTTCTCAATTCATTGAGGCTCTGAGAGGTTAACTGTGTCGTGGGAGCTTACTGAGAGCTTGCAAGCAGCAGGGCCCGCTTCTAGAGAGCACTCCGCTCTCCGCAGGCTCCTGCCCTGTGTCCTGGCACCATTGCTGCTTGGCAGCTTGGCCCCGAAACCAGAGATGCAACAGCTGCACTGCTCCTGGAATCCCCTTGCGCCCCTCAGCGAGCGACTGCCCCCTGCTGGCATGGAAGATGAGAAATTCGTTGCTCCCAGCAGCATACAGCAGCCTCTCACTGGGCAGGATGCCTCGGTTCACAGCTCGTGAACTCATTTTGCTGGTCGTGTCCAAAACCTGTTCAGCGATCACAGACTCAGCATTTTGTAGGATTTTTCCTCTTCCTGCTCAGGGGATCTTACATTTCCCAATGCACACTGGTCATCCTTAAGCCATAGTTCAGCTTTGATCAGTTTGATTTTTCTGCAATCCAAAGATTTGGGTTGTTTTTTTTCTTAGCTTGAGGGGGGGAAAAAAGCATGAGAGATTATTTCTTGTAATTTAAAAGAGCCAAGTAGAGTTAGCATTAAATAGTTTCCCTATGGGCTCAGATCATTTTAAGAAAAATTCAAGCCCGGCATGGTGGTGCACACCTGTAATCCCAGCACTCTGGGAGGCTGAGGCAGGAGGATCACAAGTTCCAGGCCAGCCTAGGCAATTTAGCAATTTAGCAAGACCCCATCTGAAAATAAAAAATAAAAAGAGCTAGGGATGTAGCTCAGTCATAGGTCCTGGATTCAAAGAAGGACCAAAAAAAACAGAGACAGAAGAGAGTCAGAAACAGAGAGCTATTGATTCAACCCTGGAGGGAATTTAGCATTCCTAAAGACTGAGCTTAGCTGAGTGTGGTGGTACACACCTGTAATCCCAGCACTTGGGAGGTTGAAGCAGGAGGGTCGCTGAGAGTTTGAGCCTGGACTACATGATGAGTTCAAGGCCAACCTGAACTACATAGAGAGACCCTATCTCAAAAACAAAAACAAAAGTTGGATTTAGGAATACAAATGTGACTGGAGAATTCCTAAACACACACAAGGACCCATGCATGAGTGCGAGTGCGTGTGCTACAGGCAAACAGGCTGGATCTGTCCCAGGCTTGCTGCTGCTGAGTCACTGTCACTTAGCATAGTACCTGGGTACAAGCTGGGGCCTCTGTACCCATCTGCTGAGTGAGTGAATGAATGAATGAATGAATGCACATGTGGGTAAACGGGTGAATGAACATTCCTCAGCTGACATTTATACTTCACCCACTTATAGTATAAATTCAGTGGCTTTTAGTTTATTTACAAAGTGCATTACACAGTCAACTTGAGCACACTTTCATTACCGAGTGGCAGCCCCAGCCCATTCCGCCCCACTCCCCACCATCCTCAGACCAGACCCCTGCTTTCTCCCTCTCTTGATTTCCCTGTTGTGGGCATCTCAGGTCAGTGGCATCATGTACAATGTGGTCCTTCGAGACTAGCTTCTTTCACTTAGCATGAAGTTTACATGTTCATTCCTACTGTACCATGAATCGTCATTTCACCAAGTATTTCCCTTTTATTTTTTTTTTTGGTACTGGGGATTGAACTCAGGTCCTTGCGCTTGCACAGCAGGCGGCGAAACCACTGAGCTAAATCCCTGGCCCCTCACCAAGTATTTCTTTTTTCTTTTTTTTGATATCAGCGATTGAACTCAGATCCTTGCGCTTGCACCCCTCACCAAGTATTTCTTGAGTGTCGATTTCGTAGGAGGAATTATTCTGCCCTCTGGAGACCCAGTCATGAATAAGAGAGTTCCTGTCCCTCCTGGGACAGCATTTCATTTAAAAAGGGCTCACTTGGGTACCAGTCACTGCCACCACACTTTCATACATCTGTGCCTTGGTTTCTGCTCCCCAGAGTAGCCACTGTCCCCCTTTCCTGTCCTGAAAGCCAGGAGGTGAGCTTGTGAGGCTGAGCCTCCTGCACACCCCCTCCTCCCAGCCTCTTCCAGGCTCCCAATGCTGTGAGCGATGAGAGCAGAATCCAAGCACAAACTCGGGTCCTCCCAGAACCATGTGGTGTGTGTGCGCTCCAGGCAATCATTGGTACAAAGAGGCTTCTCGGTCGTGTTCCTCTACTCGAGGAAGAGCAGCACCTCAGCCAGCATGTGGACAGCAGGGTGAAGGGACTGTGGGGTGCAGGTGTGGCATCAGAGGGCCCAGGAGCCCACAGGGCCTGGCTGCAACGCCTGAGATGAATTCAGGGTGCGGCCGTTCCTTACAAGCACCAGGCTCCTCCATCAGCCCTGCTTCCTTGGTGCCATTCTTCTCTCCACCATGCCAGCCTGTGTGGGTAGAAAAATTGTAGCTACCCCAAAAAGTGCCCCATGTGGAGCACTTCTCATTTTGTCCTGCAGGTCGGAGCCCAGCTTCCCCCACAGACACCCAGGCATCGGCCAGTATCCCAAACAAGGTGGCAAGGCAGCTGCTCCATCCCCCACCAACTTCCTCCTTCAGGGCAGCGTGATGTGTGTGAGGAGGAATGTGTCCCAGCCAGCAGCTGGGAAGCAGAGCCTGGGCAGGGCTCCCTGGCCAAGGCTGGGATCTCCGCCTTCCATCCGGCCAGGCCCTGGGCAGCAGGTGTGCGATGGGAACACAGGAGAGCAGGGAACAAGCAGCCCCAAGACCCCTTCTGCTCATGTGCTCCTGCAGCAGCACTGCACAAAGACCAGTGGCACAGGCCGTGATCCCAGCACTCTGGGAGGCTGAGGCAGGAGGATCAAATATTTGAGACCCTGCTGGGTGACTTAGCCACTTAGGGAGACCCTGCCTCAAAAATTTTAAAAAGGGCTGGGGATGTGCTCAGCACAAAGTGTCTGGGTTCAGCAATACCAAACAAAAAAAAAACAAACATGTGATGGGAGCCAGACCTGTTGGGTTTAAATCCTGGTCACAAGTTAACAGCTTGTGCCTGTGAAAACTTATTTAATTCCTTTGTGTCTCAGCGTCATTTACAGAATGGGAATAATAACAGACGCAATGATTGGAGGAGAAGTATGTGATATGCTTCAAATAGTGCTGGGCCAGAGTACACTTGCAATCAACCCTAGAAGCAGTGGTGGTGGCCTTGAACTTCAGGTGCTGAGACCCATAGCCTTGGGAAACCCAGTGCACCTCCCACCTGCGCCCTTTCTCCAGGGGACCTCGAGGGTCTCCCCTGACTTCTCAGAGCTCCTTCCCAGTCTGTAACGTGGAGGTAACAATAAGTAACCATGTGGTGTTTGTTAGATTTCAGCAACAAAAATACGTCCACATTGCAAACATTTAGTAAATAAGCGGTTTTTGCTGTCATAGTAATGTTGGTGTTATGGTTACCAGATTTTCAAAAATGAATGAGAAGTTCCAGAGTTCCCGAAGGCTATGCTATCTGGCCTCTTTTCATTTGGCAACACTTAGAAAATAATATATAACAGAGGCATTAGGTAAAGGCAGGCTGCTTGTGGTGGCCAGCAGGTGCTGGCCTCTTCCCAGCTGGGTCAAGGGGACCATCACACCTGTAAGCTGTCTGAGACCCAGTGACATGGGGCTGGGGTGCTCTGCCCCAAGGAGGGGAGGGGATGGCCCGCCTGGAGTGCACAGTCACCTGTAGCCCCCTCCCCACAGTTCAGGGAATTCCTGTTTTTAAGAAA